AATTAAAATAATAATAATTTTATCCAAAGATCACTCTATGAAAACGTCAATCTCGCAGTCTAGATTTCTTCAAAAAATTCACTTGACAACAATACATCACACTTCACTTAACTACATCTTTTGACCAATGCATAATTATACAAAATTTATAATTTAAGCAGTTTCTAGCCAATAAAAAAAATTTAGTAGTCAAACGTAATTAGTACAACTTTTAATGAACATGGAAATTTCCATGACTTCTAAAGATTTGACTAATCATGTCAAGCTCAGAAAACCAGTCTTATTTTTTCATTTTAAGTTTAGTTTGTTTTTTTAAATCGTGTCTTTTTTTTTAATTTTCTTTTTATTCAGTTTAAGTCATTTTAATATTTCAACTTAAACATATTATATTTCGGTTAGATGCCAAAGCAGGATTTCTAATTTCCATGAAAAACTTTTATCTAATATTTATATTTGATCTCATCTTTATTTCAATTAATGAGTTTATTTAACAACAGCAAACACTGCTGGGAAATATTTGTAATGCTTTTTTGCAGACTACTTTATTTATACTGGAGAAATCGACATTAGATTGTAATGCAAACAAGTTGCATCAGTTGCAAACAAGTTACAACATAATAGAAATGCATCATAAAATATGATTTTTTTCCATAAATTCTAAGTAAATACAGAAATGAAACACCTGGCTGCACTGGCAGTAAAAGGCCATAGATGCGTTCTCGGACAGGAAGATATAAGACGGCCTGCGGGGGTAACTCCACCTCATCCTCATCTTCCAACGTGTTACTGCACTCCACGACCCCATCATATAACACATTATAGACCAGGAAACACTCTGCCTGTGTGTGCTTTTCCATCGCTGCCTGAAACATGGAAACACTTAGTAAGAGTACAAACAAAGCCATGTTACTTCGGGTGGGTCTGATGCTTTTGTTAAATACAGTGGGGTCCAAAAGTCTGAGTGAAAATGTTTCCTTTTTGCATTTTCTCTCATTTTATTTCTATATTTTAAAAGACAAAATTACATTATCAGCAAACTTCTAAATGTTAATAAACCATAAAAATACCATATGGTGTATTTTAAATCCCATATTTTTTAAATGTGTCCTGTGCATTTTTCCTTTTTACCTGTAATATGTCACCAGGTACATAATTGCCCATCAAACACACAGACTCAGGAAAGGCACGGCTGCTTTCTAACCAAGGGGACATTTGTCCTGTAAGTAAATACAAGCGTATGCCTTTTTCTAAAGCTTCTTTCTCTGCTTCAACTAACGAAAGGGAGGAAACTCCAAATGTTCCCTCACTGCTGGGATGATGAACGCTAATGAAGTCTGCAACAGCATAGACCTTGTCTCCCTGAACTTGCTTGTGTTTCATTCGGTATGACGCCAAAGCACTGTTGCGGAGACGCTCCATTTGCTGCTCAGGCACGACGTCATTGCCCAACAGACAGGCCAAGAGAGGGAGGTCAGTCATATGAAGCTTCAAAACATGGCATAACCGCTCTCTGGAGAACAGCACTGTTGTCATGTTGTTTAAATTGAGTTTATTGATGGACAGGTATGGAACTGTGTTGTAGATAACAAAGTCTGTATCTTGACCAAGGATGCCCATGCAGTTGTGAGACAAAGCGTAGTCGGAAATCTCATAATCTCCTTCGCGAACAGAGCACCGTGATTCCTGGCCGAGGCTTTTGAGGGCAAATCTGGAGAAGGTTGCGAGTCCGGAGGGAAGGCAGAAAAGGTCTCTGCTGTTCGGCTGCTGACCGTGAGTCTTAATGTGCTGAAATATTCTCGCGATGTCTTGGTTGACTCTCAGCCGCCTCTTCACCCACTCTGCCCGCTTTTGTTCCTCGACCGTTCCGTCGAAGAAAAAGACTAAACGTATGTCTGCAGCCGTGAACGCATCCAGGAATTCTTGAAGGATATGCATATACTCTTGCCACTGACCGCCATGGACCCAGGCTTGACAGCGATACCAGTATCTTAAACAGGCCATTCCGTCCACTACTACTGTGGCGGCACTGTCCGGATGGGCTTTGACATGATCGACTGCCATCTGTTTCAGGTCCACTGGCACACAAGAGTCTGGGCAACATCCCTCCATAAAGTACTGTAAGCCCTTCACACCCATCTTCAGCTGTGTGAAAGCTCATCTGCAAGTTCATGCATCTAAAATCAAACATAAAAGTGCACGCATGAATGGAAATTCACCGTTTTCTCTATATCAAAATTATGACATTCTAAAATCTCAATGCACCTGTCAAGTCAATAATGTATATAAATTAGAATATACATCAAACTTTAGAAAATATGCAATTTAATGTTTAAAGAAACATTACTACATTATCACTATGTCCATGCAGAAAAAGAGTTTCACAGCTGTGTCGCTACTTTTACTCGGGGTTTCTGAAGGTTTTAATGAAGGTAAATTTAAGACTTTTTAAAGACCACTTTAAGAAGTAGTAAGGAATGTTAAGCAATAAATCAGTATGGTCACTAAATATAAATGTATTGTATTAGCTAGCTACTCTTCAACAGACTTCCAACAGATCTCTACTCTGAATTTTCATAAAAATAAATAAATAAACAAAAACATGAGGCTTGAATAGTTCAATAATAATTACTTACACAGAAAAGTAATTTTCATACTACAGTGACAGGTACAGGTGCATCTCAATACATTAGAATGTTGTGGAAAAGTTCATTTATTTCAGTAATTCAACTCAAATTGTGAAACTTGTGTATTAAATAAATTCTATGCACACAGACTGAAGTAGTTTAAGTCTTTGGTTCTTTTAATTGTGATGATTTTGGCTCACATTTAACAAAAACCCACCAATTCACTATCTCAACAAATTAGAATACTTCATAAGACCAATAAAAAAAACATTTTTAGTGAATTGTTGGCCTTCTGGAAAGTATGTTAATTTACTGTACATTTTATCAACACTTTCTTTTGGTCTGACCAGACAATTTATACCATATTAAAATCAGAATCCATCCTGAAACCTCTAATCACTCACTTAGTTAAGCTAATGCTAGATTTGCCAATATATAAATACATTTTATATTACTGTTATGTCCCATGTCCCCAAAATTAAAATGCAAAGTGTTTAAGCTGTAAATAGTTATCAAATAATCATCTTGTACATGTATTTTCTCTCACTCATTAGCATAATTAAAGTAATATGAATGAACATGTTCAAAAAAACCCTTCACATCTGCTGCGACGCTGTCAGTAAAGATATAGAACACTACAGTCCTTTATCACTTAATATCACACTTATTAATAAACCCAGTGCTGCTAAAGAAGCAAAACCCGACTCACTACTTGAAGGGTGGGATGTCACGCATAGTTTAACTAGAATACTCGGGTTAGTGAGCGTTTAAGCGCTCTCTCGCTCAGAGCTGCACGGCTGCTACAGTAGCCGAAACCGCTGATGTTTACAATGTAGCGCTCACTTCCTGTTCCGGCGCGAGGATCTCAGCAGCCAATCAGCGTATTCCTTTATAATGCGTGTAAATGAAAAAGAAGACCACAGCTGAAACATATATTAGAAATAATTGACGTTTTATGAAATACTCTGCTCGATAACAAATCTGTACAAATAAATAAATAATATTTAAGAAATGCATTTCATTTAAATATGAGAACTGTGTTAGTAAATAAAGAAATAGAGTCATGCAGTTTTATGCTATTCTGCTTATTAGTTTATTATGTAATGGTTTATTATTGTGCACTGTATCGCCACCCGTATGTTGTTAGGCTGCAATGATATAACACCAGCATAGCATAGTCTTACAGAATCTTTTACTAGAATTAGAATTGATTAGAATTCATTTCAGAATAAGGATATAAGGCTGCAGGTATTTTAGTACAGTAGGTCAATCCCTGTTTGTACAGTTTCACAATCTGATATGGGATTATTATTATTGTTCTTTTCTGTAAAATTAGCTGTGATAAAAACTATGCATTTAAGTTTAGAATCTTTTCCTCCCCATTTAAATGATTTATGCTATTAATCATACCTGCATAATATAAATAACAATGTAAATAAGTATAATACAAATATAATATATATATATATAAATAAAATATAATGCATTATTATTAATAAATAAATAAATAAATATAATAATAAATAAATAACGGGATTTCAATGTAGCCTACATAAGCCACGCAAGTTTTGGGTCAGTTATTGATTTTTCTTCCTCTTTGAATCAAAGTTTCTCACATAAACAAAACCACCCCAGGGAAAGGGGCAGATGTTCCCTAAAGGACGATGGCACGCGACAGTCCTCAAGCCTCAGCCCTCCTGCTCTCTCTCTCTCTCTCTCTCTCTCTCATGCACACAAACGCACACTAGTAGCTTATACTCAAACCTCTATCAGAGCTGTTAAATCAGGAAAACACCAATATAGTCAATGGCAAACTAGATTTAATTAAACTCAAGCAACTTCCTAGACTGGATGCATCTATTTCGCTGCACGTTTTAATGTTTCTTCTTGCTTGTTGTTGCTTTTTTTCATAATGAGTGCGCCACCCGAGCCACGCGACACATCCATTGTTATTTTAATCAGTGCAAGTGCTTGCTGCGTCATGATGGGGAACCTACTCTTACTATGCTGTATTGTCCTTTTCCTGAACACAAAATAAGTATTCACATGCATGTTGCATTGACACTTTCATCGCCTCCGCGTCTCCTGTTGCGTATATAGGAATGCGCGTTCAGTGGGAAAAACAGCTCATTGAGAAACATTCGCGCTCTCCTTAATTTGATCGATCGATTGGCAGACACTATCTCAAAAGCCGTTACTGCGATCGTTACTGCCAGTGTTCCCACGGCCACTTCCTGCAGCTTCCCTAACCATATGGCCCAGCAGCGGCATTCATGCGCGCATGCTTCCAGTCTCATTTTGGAGAAGCCTGCGTTTGCGCGGCTGCGCGGCTGCGCGCTGCCTGGAGAGGCAGTAGAGACATGCAGTTGCGATGTGAAAAAACGCCATTTGGTTGGGAGCAGATGGTTGGCTTGGGGGGCTGTCCGCGTCTTCAGAGAGAGTCCCCGAGGGCTCCCCTTGTATTCAGAATCAATGAAAATTAAAGCGCAAAGAAAGATGAAGAGTCAGACCTCGAGTCCCGGCTTTGTTCGTCGCAGCTACTGGTGGGCAGGAGTTAAAGTACAACAGCCCCCTATAGAAACACTTAAGTTAAACAGTCTCCCCATAGTCCACCTTCAGAAAAGAGGAGGGATGCGAGAAAGGAGCTTTCTGCTTGATTTAACCAGGACAGAATCGCGTGGCATAAATTATGCTCGAAAAGAATAAGCGAAGTGGGCATAAATCTGAGGGTTTTCAGTGATGCTTTGCTGGGGTAATCGGGAAATGTGTGCAACGTCAGGCTAAAGAACTATGGGTGAAAGTGTGATGATAGCTGTGTGTGACACGGTTCCGCTCTTATTTATGGCCAGCGGTTCAATAACTAACTCCGGAGTGTGTTGCTATTGACACCTGTCGCATTGTCCAAGTCCATGTTTGGTTCAGGAAACGCATTCGACAAAAACAAGTATTTATGTGTACTTAAACTAGGAGACAACTACTTTCTAAACAATGTTCATCAAGTGCCCAAACCGATCGCGCGTAACTGATGCACCGTTGTCGCATTCCTCTGGAGCGCTTTTAATTAACGCGCTAATGAAGACCACCCTCGCACACCCACACAGACAAACGCTCGCGAGACCGAGCGAAAAGAGCGAGAGCTGGATTCGTTTAACAATATGAAAGAATAAAAGAAAACATCGGAAACTTCCTCGTCAAATTAAACGCAAAATGATTGATAAAACACCAAAACAACAGAAGCTGCTAGGTACTTTAGTCGGGGATGACGTGTAGAGAGGGGGGCTCATTGTGAGGGGAGCAGGTGCTGTGAGAATTACCATACAGCTGAGCACAGAGAGAGAGAGAGAGAGAGAGAGAGAGAGAGACAATAACAAACAGCCACGCGAACGACACACACCAGTTCAGCGTTTACAATCCAGCTTAGAGAACTCACAGAGTCACCAAAACTCAAACCACTGAAATCAAGTGTTTTAAAAACACAAAGCAGGTTCATAAGGATATGCATGTTCGCTTTACATGACCTACTTATGCGAGGCGCCAGCATTTTTTTGCCTACTTCGACTTAGTTCATTCCCACTTGTAAAATTGTTAGTGAACATTCAGTGGAAGTAAAATGTAACGGTCAAATCGGTTAACTGCAATGTACCTGACCAAAATTTGAAATATTTTATTACTTATATTTATTTATATTATTTTTAAAGATTGAATATAATTTTACTGTAAAATATTCTAAAATGTTTTAGTAGTAGATCTTATTTATTTACTTTAGGAATATATATATATATACATATATATACACACACACACACGGGTTTGTTTTTATGGTTTATGGGGACTCTCCATAGGCGTAATGCTTTTTCTACTGTACAGACCGTATTTTCTATTGCCCTACACCAACCCTACCCCTAAACCTACCCCTCACAGGAAACTTTCTGCATTTTTATATTTTCAAAAAGCTTAATTCTGTATGATTTTGTACCCGTGGGGACCTCAATTTAGGTCCCCACCGTGACACGAGTCCCCATGAGTCTGTGTGTAGTCAGGTTTAAGTCCCCACCAGGATATATAAACCAGTACACACACATACTGTACTTGTGTCCCGTTATCAGGAACGCGACATTCCTGCATTGTGTGATGCAATTTGTGGTTTCATGTCAGAGTGGGATGTACAGGATTCTCGAGGTTGCTTATTTTCCTGTATGTAAATTAGATGTTTTCTCTCTCTCTCTCTCTCTCTCCACTCACTCCCAGTGGCAAAGAGGTGCACGTTTTACAGCTCAGTGACCATTTGCCGATTTTTTTTCTTTCTTGGAGGGTTGGGGGTGGTGTAGATTGAAAAGTGTCTCTTTGTGACAACCAGAGCCAGATTGGGGAGTAGCTCATTTGCATCTCATTACCCTAGCAGGCGCTGCCTGTATATAACCGGCTGCAGGAGGACTGGGACATTAAACAGGCACCAATCCAGTCAGTCTCTCTCACATGGAAACAAGAGTACGGGAGGAAAGTTGGGATCAGTAGTTTGGATCATCTCCACGGCATTCGTATACATCGGAAAAGAAGCGAGACACGCGCAGATAACCGTGCGCCTGGGGTTTCTGCATTTTTTTTTCCGGCTTCCTAAACAATCCGCAAGTGGACTGCAAACTTTTGACACCTTGGAGTAATCGTCTCCTGAGGGAATTTCCAGCTCGTCCCCCTTTTGCGCATGGGGGTTTCCTCTTTATAAGGATTTAATTGCTTGATTTTTTTTTGTCTTTGATGGGCATGCACGAGCAGATAAAGTGAAAACAACAGAGCATCAGATACCAGAGCTGCCTGCCACTGAGTGGAGAACTTCGAGTCTCAATGATTCATTGAGACACGGTCTCATACAAGTGCCTGGCCCGTGGAAGCTTAACAGCATCGTTCAGATCCTCTCCACCATGGGACGACTCATGATAGCTGCTTTGCTTTGTGTCATGATGAGCCAGGTAATTAAAGTCAGCGTCTGTTTTAACGTATGTGAGCAAGGATCTCACAATAGATGTCTGCCTTATGATGGCAACGTTTAGTGCTGAATCCAATTTCAATTTCTTTCCAGGGGTTTTGCTCTGGGGTTTTCGAGTTGAAGTTGCAGGAGTTTCTGAACAAGAAAGGGGTGACAGGCAACGCAAACTGCTGTAAAGGATCCGCGCCAGAGGCTCAGCAGTGTGAATGCAGAACCTTTTTTAGGATTTGCCTGAAACACTACCAAGCCAATGTATCTCCAGATCCTCCATGCACCTACGGTGGCGCAGTTACCCCGGTGCTCGGATCAAACTCCTTCCATGTTCCCGAGAGCTATCCTGACAGCTCGTTCACCAACCCCATCCAGTTCTCATTTGGATTCACATGGCCGGTGAGTGGCTAGTGTTTTACTTTTATACATTATACTTTATATTTGGATGCATGTGTAGGTTTTACCGAGGTTTATCGCATGTTTAACATATAAAAACCCACAATAATGACTCGGGATGTGGGTATTTAGATGTTTTAGTGGTGTTGGAGATGTGGGAGAAGTCACAGTGTCAGCTCAGTGTGAAATTGCGAAACCGTTCAGTTTACTGCAATAAGTAAGTGTGCAATCGGAGAAATGAGGCTTGGATCCCCAGTGCGATCACACCTGAAGCCACTCACATCTCCCGTTATATGTAAACCAGCGGGGAGCTGTGGAGGAATGCGCTTCTGCTTGTCGATTTCATTCATATTAACACGCCCTTTTTATGTTGCAGGGAACCTTTTCGCTGATTATCGAAGCGTTGCACACCGATTCCAACGACGATCTGTCGACAGGTAAGGAGAAATGCATTGAATGGGGATGAACGTTTTAAGC